AATGTCTTGAAGGAGGCGGAAAAAACCTCCAACATTGGCTTATGTGATAAATGAGTTTAAAAGTGATATGCAAATGTTACATTCTGGAAAATATTTTACAAAAATGCAAAAATTAATTTTTGAAGAGCCTGAAAGCAGTTTCGTATTCGCGTCAGTAAACGATTTTAGAGGATAAGATTATCAATCTTAAAAAAATATATAAAATACCTGCCATGAACACTTTGTTTGGAAATTACCCATATACATATGTCTGTCCGGTCTTTTAAATTTTGGTACTTTTTCGGATGATTTAGTACAATCTTTTTGTCCATTGGTACAAAAATTAAAAACTCATTTATCATCCCTGCCACCAAGGCTTTTCGGCGGAAAATTTTCAGCCCCTGGATGGATGTGCCCAATCTAAGTGAAACGCTGCACCAGCAGCAGTAGAGCGAGTAGTTTATCTGTCTATAAACTATAACTAAGAGCTCTAAGAATTTGTAAATTTTTTTACCTCCCTCTAAGTTTATGCTTCAATAGTGCTTTCATTGACGATAAGCTACTTTTTAACTATTCCTTTGTTCATATGTCCTCTAAAAAAGCTCCAAATTAAAGCAACATCCTAATATCTATAATAATATCTTATGGAACACTGCATATAATGCCAAATTTTTTGCGGTAAGGTTATTTAAGGTATTTTAAATTAATTCTCACTTATTAACAGCTACATATGCTAATGATGAATTAAGTAAACTTACCTTGCGTGTTGTTATTTTTTAATGCATAAAAAATTCCTTTAAAAAATAATAAAAATTCCAAAACAATAATTTGTTGAGGTGGCAGTGATACTCGAGCAATTTACGAAAAGTATAAACGTCATACTGTGCTTATGTCAAAAAATTTCAAAGCGAAACTACTTTCTTTTTTGTATCATGTTTTTAATGTACCTTGGACTCTAGTTTGTGTGCTTTTGTTTATGAATACAATTTTGTCATTTCAGTGAAGCAGTCTACAGGGTTGAACTTTTTAGTATCTAAAAGCTTGTTCGTTTTACAAAAGTGAGGATTTCGTTGAAATCTGATTGAAATCTAAGAAACCGAAATCATGAAAATATGAAATATGGGAAATCGAAAGATTTCGCGAAGTCTCAGATTTCAATGCAGCGGAAATGTATTATAACGTGTTAGTAAATATTTCAGGAGTGGGTTGGCTGAAAAAATCCTGGCTATGATATTTTTAATGAAGTATTCAAAAATTATTATATTTTTTT